CCGACAGTTTGAGGGGGGTCACTGGGTCAGGGTCTATGTCACAAGAAGCAGAGGAAACTCCCGCAGACATGAGCAGTGAATGGTGTGATGAAGGGCATCCAGTGGCTCAGAGCACCTTGAGAGAAGTCAGTGTGGCCTTAGCTGAAGAGGCAGGACTCTTACTGGGGGTGAGCCCTCATGACTCCTCCGGGAGCCCCCTTTCCTGCCGTAACCTCTGGGTCGCAGATCAGGGGAGGGAATGCCCCATCCTTAGCACAAAATGGGTCTTCTCTTGCTTGAAATTTGAATTCTCTTTTCAAATTTCAGCTTCTAGGAAAAGCCTTCCCTGACCACTGTATGTCTGCTGATATCCCTCCATGGACTCTCCTCTCCTCCTGCCCTTCTGTATTGCTTACCACAGTGCCTGCCAGTTCCTGTGTTTCCTTTCCTCTCAGACACCATCCTTCTAGAACGTAAACTGAGCACCTGGACTTTTAGGTTTTGTTTAGTAATGTTCACACAGTCCCATTGCTAAGGGGAAAGTGTGCACCAGGAAAAGTACACTTAGAAGAGGAGGTTCCCTTAGATTCCAGGTCAAAGCCCATCTGGGCTGGGGGTGTAGTTTCCCACAGTTTCACTCTTTTGTTTGCACTGTAGGGTCCTCTGTTAGTTGGCTCTCCTCAGATCCTAAATCACTGGGGAAAGGGGGTTTTAGAACAAGTGAATGACCATCTGTAGAAGCAGGAGAAAGGACCAAGGAATTTAAGCACTAGCATGGCTAGGCAGATTCTCCCCAGCTGTAACTAGCCTCTCTCCTCATTCCCTTTTTTTTCCTCACCCCCTCCTTTCACCTGCAGCCAATCCCACCCCCAACCCCCATCCATTTCCCAGAAAATAAATCTCTGGGAGGAGGCAGGGAGAGTGGATCTCAAGAACCCTTCTGAATAAATGTCTATATTAATGAATTATTAACTCGGCCACCCGTGACCTTAAACCTAGAAGCTGGAGCACCCAGGGCAGAGAGGAGAGCTGCTGAATTCTTATTGGAGTCCTGTCAAAGGCAACGACCCATTTGTTCCCTTCCCCCACCAGGAAAAAATAATTAATATGAAAGGCAAACTTTTTAATTATATGTCAAGTGAAATCAGATAGAGGGTCTCCTAGACAGATCTCTTTTTTATTTCCCGGCTCTTCCTGCTCCTCTCTCCCGGCTCTGGCCTCTGGCTCCATTCTTTCCCTCCCAGCTAAGAGTACAATGGGCTTCCTAAGGATAATTTTCGGGGAAAAAATGCTGGAGAAAATGATGAATTTGGGTAGTTAATTTATCGATCCCGCCTCCTCTTCCCACTTGTTTTATTTTAGAGGTCATTAATCAATGAAGAAAAACACCACCGTGTCCCCCGTTTGCATTTAATACACTCGCGCTCCTTATTCATTCCTCTGGAACAAATTCCCAGCAAATATTCACCCATCGATTTGTGAGCGATGGATTTTTATAAAGGTTTGATCGCTTCCTAAATGGTCAAAGTGATTTGTTTCCCGGGCTTCTAAGTAGTGAAGAGAAGGGGCGAATTTGAAGGATGCATGTCCTTGAGGCCAGAGGACTCACTTTCCAAAAAGTCCCCGACATGCAAGAGTGATGGTGACCAAGCGGGTCCAGGGTCAACTGGGTAAGGTGGACTTACCCAGCGCAGCGCGTCCAGTGCGCTTCGCTGCGGTCAGGGCTGAGTCCTGGGTGTGGGGACCGCGCTCGGACCTCTGTCTCAGCCAGTACCGCGCCTCGGATCTGCTGGATAGGCGCTGGGGATGGACTTCCTACACACTCCCCTGAGACCTTTGCTTTGCTCCCGGGGCCTTCTGAAAGCTCTCTAATTTTCCTGCCTCCTTCATGCGAGGCCCTATGCCCTCTGGCACGTTGTGCCCACTTGTGCCCGAGAGTGCTGGGGCCGAGGCGGGGTCAGGATGGCTGGAACCTGACAGGTCCACTTCTGGGCACAGTGTGGAAGAGAACCGTCGTTACCTTTCCTGTCGGTTCCCAAGCCAAACTTCTCCTTTAGTACCTCCACCCACCTCTGGCGTCAGTCGGGATGGAGTGGGTAGAGGTTTGCCTAGAGTGGGCGGGGGATACATTTGGCATCCCCATTGATCCGGGTTTGAATCTCCCTGCATCACTCATCAATGACATGACCTTAAGCAGCCTACCTAGCCTTTCTGAACCTCGGTGGTCCCCATCTGTGTGTAATATGGGGGTTAGTGATAAGGCCTTCCCCGCACAGCTGCTAGGCGCACTAAATGTACGCGACGCGTCTACACGCGCTTCGCACGTCCAAAGCCTCGTTTACCGGTCAATCTTACTATCATGAGAACACACTTACACGCGCGCGCACCCACTCTTCCCAGAGTGTGGGTGGCCCGAGGGCTCCGAAGCACTTGCTGCTGGCATCTCAAAATACCGACATTTTCTAGTGGCGGCGATGGTTTGAAGGGATACTTTGGGACTTCCAGTCCTGGGGACCATGCGTGTGCAAGTAGCCGGCTCTGGGCAGAAACGAGTAAGGCGGGCGACCCGGCTGCTGCCGCTGCGTCGCGACTTCCGCCCCTGCCTCTACCAGCGAACAGAGAAGTGTCCAGGCTCCTCGGTAATGAACTGGGAGAAAGTGAGAGTTTGCGCCTTCTCCCGCGGCCAAGCAGCCACTTCCGGCAGTTCCCGAGGCAGATTAATGGAAAGGGGCCTGGAACGCCATCCTTTCCTCCCGAAGGAGAGGTCCAAAGTCAGCGGAGACTGTCCGGTTAGCCTCGGGCTCCACCGCGCAGTGGGTTTTCCCGCGCGGTGTTTGCCTTAGATTTGGGTGCTATCAATCTATCCGGGGATGACAGATGACCCTGTCATAACGACGCCAGTCAAAACATTTCGGCCCAACACTGTTCCAACCAGAATGGAGGCATCCTGCGTGAGACCCGGACCAAGTGTAAACAGCGCGTTTCCCAGGCTCGGACCAAATAAGTGATGGGAAGAGAAAAAGAAACCAGCAGAAATGACAAAGAATAGCTATTAATTGTTCAGAGTGGCGACTGCTAAATAAATTGGGTTGTTTGGCAAAAGATAAATGCAATTTTTTTTCTCTGAGGTGTAGACAGAACTCTGGCAAGGGGAAAGCTCCCGAGTTCGTCAATTTCACAGTCTGTCGGTGCCCTCTGCCACCAAGTACCACGAATGCCAGGAAAAGCCGGGGGCCGTGTCTCCTTCCTGGATGTTAGACCACGTAGCGAGTGGCGGCTGCGGCCCCAGGCTCAGGGACTGGGCATGGTGAGCTTGGGGCTGCGCTCCCATCCTGCACCTCCAGCGCCAGGTTTGGGGCATAGAAACCTATCCTTGACCTTCCAGGGCAGCCCCAGGCAGCTGAAGGCAAACAGCCTCGCCGTGTCCAGGAGCATTTGTGTCACCAAACATGGCTCTGAATATTTGACTTGAGGTGCCAATGAGAGGGAGAGAGCCCTCCAGGAAGACAAGCCAGAGGGAGGTTGGACTCTGCGGCAGCCGCCTGAACCCCGCGGCCAAGCTGGCGTGTCGCCAGGACGAGCTGCTTTTCAGAGACCCCCCCCCTCCCCCGCTCCCAAGTCTTCCTGCTCCAAGCCTGCCTCCCTGGCTGCAGACCGAGGCTTTCCCTCCAGCGCGCAGCCCGCCTGCCTCGCCCTTGACTTCTCTCCCCGAAGGATTTAGGTTAGAGGTTGGTTGGCGGGCGAGTCCACTCTGGCACCCAGCAGCACTCCAACAAAAACCGAACCGGGCTATAGCGCACACTCGATCCCGGGACCGGCTCTGCCCCGCGGGCGGCGCGCGCTCGTGCCTGCGCGGAACCTCGAGCGGACGCGGAGACACACATTGTGGGTCTGCGTTTCCATTGCTTTCAGGATCGGGGTACTGAGCCAGCGCCTAGAAAAGATCTATCATGAACAGAAAGAGACCACAGGCGAGCCCGAGACGTCATGCCAAAAAAAAGTGCGGGGGATGTGGGCGCGAGGGCGGAGGAGGTATTGGTGAGGCAGAGGCGCACAGGCTGTCTGTGGGTCCAGCGGGGCGAGAACTTCCTTCTTCCCTCTCCCCTCCCCTTCGTTCTCCTGGCCTGCCTCCCGCCTCCTCCCCCACCCCATCTCTCTCCTCTCTCTCTCTCTCTCTCTCTCTCTCTCTCTCTCTCTCTCTCTCACACACACACACACACACACACACACACACACGCTGCACACACTTGTATTTTGTGCTATCGTAAAACCCACGTGTGCAGCCAGGAGACTGCCAGAGTGGAGCGGAGGATCCCGGACGAGCTGCCAAGCGCAGCAGCCCACGGCGGCTCTGTCCCGCGCACGGGTCCGCCAGCGCTCCAGTGCCCTGGGCCGAACTGCTCTTGCGCCCTCCGCGGGCCTCGGCGTCCCTTGCTGGCATCCCGGGACGATTCCTAGCGACCGGATAGCTAAGCTGTCCAACACACCGCCTGGAGCATGTAGCTCAGCCGGGACGCACCCTCTCCCGCTCGCCCTCCGAGACACCCGCACGCACGCACGCACCCGCCAGCGGCTCGGCGTTTGCAGGTAAAGCGAGGCTCCCCTAGGGCCGAGAGGATGCGACGGTTGGAGGTCTCCGACTGGGGGCGGGGGGCGAGACTGTCCCGCCTCCCGCCGCCTGAGGCCAGCGCGGCTCCGGCGCTGCGCCACTTCGCTTCGGGTCGGCTCCAGGGCGCTGGCTGAGGGCGGGGGCTGCGTCCTACAGCCGAGTTGTGCGGAGAGCGCCCCTCATCGGGGTCCAGCCTGGCAGGGTGGGAGCCGGGATCGCAGGCAGAGAGGCCAAGCAGGGTGCACGCCGCTCCCTGGGCGCGGGAACACGGCTTCCGAGTAAACTTTGCGCCCCAGCAGAGTTGGGAAGAGGGGGCCCTGGGAGCGGACGGATCCGGGGGCTCCGGGGCTCGCCCGGTCCAGGTCCCGGCCCCCTCCCCACGCCTCTCGCACAGGCCGTGGGTCCCGCTCACGCGCGCGCTCCTCCCTGCGCTCTGTCCCCAGCCCGAGGCGTCGGACATGCTGAAGCCCGGAGACCCCGGCGGCTCGGCCTTCCTCAAAGTGGACCCAGCCTATCTGCAGCACTGGCAGCAGCTCTTCCCTCACGGAGGAGGCGGCCCGCTCAAGAGCAGCGGCGCCGCGGGTCCCCTGGGCGCCCCGCAGCCGCTGCAGCCGCCGCCACCACCCCCGGAGCGTACCGAGCCGCCGGCGGACGGCCTGCGGCAGAGGCCCGCCTCCCTGTCCTCAGCCGCGTCCACCCCGGCTTCCTCCTCCACCTCAGCCTCTTCTGCTTCTTCTTGCGCCGCGGCTGCCGCCGCTGCCGCCGCGCTGGCGGGTCTCTCGGCCCTGCCGGTGGCGCAGCTGCCCGTGTTCGCGCCCCTCGCCGCGGCAGCCGTGGCCGCCGAGCCGCTGCCCCCCAAGGACCTGTGCCTCAGCGCTGCCTCTGGCCCGGGGTCCGCCAAGTGCGGCGGCGGCGGGGATGGCCGGGGCGTCCCGCGCTTCCGTTGTAGCGCGGAGGAGCTGGACTATTACCTGTACGGCCAGCAGCGCATGGAGATCATCCCGCTCAATCAGCACACCAGCGACCCCAACAACCGTACGTAGCCGCAGCCCTCGTGCGCTCTCCCTGGCGAGGTTCGGGGAGGCGGGTCGGATGAAAGTGACACCGGGAGGGGGGTGCTGGGCCACGCCGCGGTCCCATGTCTCCCAGGTCACTGTGGCAAAAGTTTGCTGGCATTGGAGAAGGAAGGAGAGTAGATAGGATGGCCGGGTGGCACCTTGGGGTTGGTTACCTTTGTCCCCTCTCTTCATCACTTGCTTCACAGCCTTTGGGATCCGAGTTCCCGTGGACCGGTGCGATTCAGATCTGCGCCTGCCTGCCGGACTGTGCTCCCGGCCGGGCGGGGACTGGCAGCCGGCGACGGGGAGTCCCCGGGATGGGCCCAGCCTGGCCTTAGCGGACCGAGGGAGACACTTCGGGTTTCTGGGGAACACTGAGACCAGGGTTTCTTTCTGTTTCCCTGCCCCCCACCTCTGGAGTTAACTGCGTCATCTCGTTTTCGGACCGCGGGGGTGACAGGGGATCCGCCCCGAGCTTCGGCTTGGGCTGGCTGGGCCTCCCCGGAATTGGAGTTGTGGGTGACAATGGTTGGTCTTTTCCTGCAGGCAGGCATTGTTCTTAGGTCCACTACTTAGTTAGAAAAGGAGAAAAAGGAAAATGCCCGCTACTTAACGAGAAGGAAATTTCCGACGTCAGTGAGGGACGTTACAGATCCCGCATTCTCCGCGCACCCTTGATCCTGCAAACGTTTGCAGTGCATGTTGGTTTATGTATTTATCTTTTTAAAGTTAAGAGTGACATTAATTTAGTAGAAGCTTCCTCAACTAAACGGTAAATGCCTAACTAAAACCATCAGGACTTCTGAGTTTGGTTTCTATATTCACAATTTTAAATGCTTATCACAAGCACAGTTCCATTCTGACGATTTGAAACAAAACTCTGAATGAAAATCAAGAGTTTTGTTTTGTATCTATTTCTTTGTACCTATTGCTTTGTATCTGTTTCTTCTTGGTAATTTCAGAAGTTCTGAATGTGTTTATAACTAGGGGTTTGGGATAAGTGTTTCCAGAGGCCTTTGGAGATAACATTAAGTAGATTAAGAGAGTACAGGTTTTGAAAGATCAGCATTCTTTCATCTACTTTCTTTATCTCACCCCTTCCTCTGGCTTCTGTGTGAGAAAAGCTGATCGTAAATATTTACTTTTATCCTATTTTGAATAAGTTGCTTCTTGCAGAATGTCTGTCACTCCATAAACTTCTTAATTTGTTGTAAAAGCAAACTAATTTTAGTTATAGTAATTGAAAGGATTCCCCAAGTTGTCGTTTTGATGAAAAAGCACTGGGGATTGACTCAATGATTGAGGGGTATTAATCTTTCCATAATGGCTGGAGATCATTGCTGTTATGGCGATAATAATTACTAACAAAAAAGAGCAATCGACTTTACTTTTTCTTCTCTAGACTCTGAGGGTAAAGTAGTGGTTTAAAATAGGAATTTTGATTCTGATTTCCTGTGCAGTTAAGAAGACTTATATTTCAGGGTTTCAGAACATTTTCTAAAATTATATTGTGTTAATAGATTTCAAAAACTTTTTTACCTAATGAATTTCTTGCAGGTGTTGTTTTCAAAGTGGTTCTTTTAAAACTGTGAAATAGAAAACAAACAAAAAATGCTTTGGAAAAGGCATTTGTTACTTCAAAGTGAAGTCTAGTCATTGCAGGTTGAAAGTGCCCCATCAAGCCTGCATTTTCTTTTCAAAATACAATCTGTGCTGGTAAAGACAGGAGTAGCACATCCCAGCCCTGGCTTTGTGTTGGGCTATCTAGATTGTTTATACTACAGTCTTCAGATGTAGCATATTTTCACCAGAGACAACAGACTAATCAGATAAGAATTAGGATAGCTTACTAAT